TAGTTCACGAGACGTCGTACTGTTAAGAAGAAGTGTAAAAGATTGAAATAAAGACTTGTTAAGTCTGAAACAAGTGGACTCTTCCCCCTGTTCCTGCACATCTCCTATCCAAAAGAACCCGTTGTGACGGAGAGCACAACATATGTATCGTTTTTTTTTTTTTTTTTTTTTTTTTTTTTTTTTTTAACTAAAAGCATATATGTATATATTCTCTGCTATAATTTAGTTTTAAAAGAGAGTTTTTTATTAAAGCAAAGAATGTTTGTTAGTATTCTGTTTTAAATTTCGGGATTTTATTGAAATTTATAATTATTAAAATTCAGAGTAAATCCGCATAAAGTTCTTACAAAAAAAGAAGAAAAAAATGTACATAAGTGACAAATTTCGCCTATTCAGAATATATTCTACGCATCAGAATATACAAATGTTTAAAATTGAAACATAATCTAAGATAAGAACCTTATATTGCAGATTTAGCATTATATTTAAATTTATATATTATAAAAATTTATATTATTAAATTTATATTATTTATATTAAAATGTGAACTATAATTTATAAAACCAAAATAAAATAGAATAATGTAAAAGAAACGCAATATTATATTAATTACATGATGACAACAAATATTAATTACAATATTAATACATATAACAAAAAGTAATATATTATTAAAAAATAAATAAATAAATATACTAAAAAGACAAAAATATTTTTTGTATAATTTTTTTATAAAAAATTTCTATACTTGCAAGGAATCCACATTATACCACAAAAGATTGTACTTTGAATCAAACATGCAACTCAAAACAGTAGGTATAAAAAGAAGTATGACACTTTGCATGAATTGTGGTTTGTGGTTTGTCAAACATTTTTTTTAATTACATTTGCACGTTTGTTAAACTAACAACCTAACTTTTAAGGCCTATCCAGACAAACATAAGCACCAATAAGCGTATGCATAAGGAAATGAATTTTATAAAAAAATTTTATAAGAAAATAAACTAATCCGATATCTTATGCATATACTTATACAGTTATAAAAGGTGGTCTGGATAGATCCTTATATATAATTTTCTGAATTACAAAAACACATCTCTCTCTTAGAATTTTCTTTTCTTAATATTTATAAGTATAAACGCAATAATATTTTTGCAAGCTTTAATTTTATTTCTTAGAATTTGTATAATAATTAATTTTCTTTTCAAATAAATTGCTTATTTTTTTCTCTTTTTAAAAGTTTTCTCTTATCAATTAAAACATATTTTATTATTTAATACTAATACTTATTTAAATATATATTAAACTTATAGGCAAAACATCCATATAAATTAAAAGAAGTAAAAAAGGTAAAAGCAGAATTGGCAACTAAAAGACGTAACGAAGATAAGGATGAAAATCCAGTTAAAAAAAGACAATACAGTTTAGAAAGATGGAGTTCTGGAAGTGCTGTAGTTACTCAGAAAATAGTAGATGATGCTATACTACGTTTTGTTATTGAAGATGTTCAACCTCTGTCAATTGTAGACAGTCCAGCATTTATCAATTTAGTTAGAATTGGAATGACTTCGTCTATTCAAATAATGTGTAGAAAAACTTTAAGAACAAAACTTGATCAAATATATCTCGAAATGAAAACAGCTCTTGAAAACAAATTGGCTCAAATTGAAATAGTTGCAACTACAGCGGATCTGTGGAGCAAAGCAAAAAGATTNTTCAAACTTTTATAGTAACATTTTTGTTTTTTATATATATGTTTCTTATTTTTTAATATTTTGTTAATGTTAGAGAATAATATAAATGTTTTTGTTTTTTTAGAAGTTTTTTAGGAATAACAGTCCATTGGATTAATCNCGAAAATTTAAGTAGAGAATCAGCTGCACTGGCTTGCTGCAGAATGAAAGGAAAACATACATATGATACTTTAGCTAAAGCAATTAATTCCGTATTTTTACAGTATCATATTCAAAATAAGATATGCTGCACGACAACCGATAACGGATCAAATTTTGTTAAGGCTTTTCGGTAATTTAAAGTTATATACATGTAACACACAGACACACTAGAAGTTTTACTGTACTTTATAAAGTTGTTTCTATATTGTAAATATATTTTTATATTAAAATATTTTAATTCCTAAGCAAAATTTATAAATTGTTCAGAGTTTTTGAAAAAGATGAAGATGAGGATTCTGAAGACATAGAATTTCATAATCTAAGTNATTTATTAATAACGGCCGACACAGAAGATACAAATGCTGCAGATTTGATCATTCTTCCACCGCATCATAGGTGTGTTAGTCACACGTTGAATCTCATTCAACGGTGAAAGATTCAGAAAAANCTTTAGATAATAATAATTTATACAAAAAAAGTACAGAACAACATTTGCTAAATTATCANAATTATGGAGTAAACAAAATCAATCACCACAGGTAGCAGATAAAATTAAAGAATATTGTGGTGTATATTTAAAAACTCCTGTTGCGTTACAAGGTAAAAAATTATTTATGATATTTTTACTTATATTTGTGTGTAAATCAATTTTTTCTAGAATAATAAAAATTATTATTTTATAAATCTATTTATCTTTTACTTCAAGGTGGAATTCTACTTTCGATTCAGTACTTNAGTTGGTAACGCTTTTAAAAAGTGACACAGAAAAAATAAATAAATGTTTAGATTATTGCGATTTACAGAGATTAACTGATGATGAAATTAAATTTCTCNAAGAATATTGTCAGGTAAACTGAAAATGCATGGAAGTTATTAAAATTTATTTAAAGTAAATCCCAAAATATTACAATAAAATATTATAATACAATATTATAATAAAATTTTTATAAGTAAAATATTAAACTAAACTTTACGAAATCCTGTAATTATATTGTATATATATATTGTATATATTGTATATATATTGTAATTATATTGTATATATATATTATAGTAATATTAATCTTTAAAACGAGATATTAGAATGGTTCATTGTGCATACATTCTATTTATTGTTTAATTTTGTTANCTAATTATTCTTTCTACTTATCTATAATTTTCTTACTTTGGTTTAGGTAATGGNACCTCTGGCACGTGCTTTAGATATTTTGCAAGATGATACAGGAATATATATGGGATACTTATTACCAGTTCTAACTACATTACAACAAAAATTAGAAACTCTAAGTAAGTCTAATCTAATGAATTGTCATTCATTGGTTTTAGCTATCCAGCAAGGTTTAAATAAAAGATAAATTATTAATCTCAATATATATGTTATTTTGTAATAATATGTTAATATGTTTAGTTTCAAATATAAAGATTTAAGTAACAAAATATATTTTTTTATTTTAAAATATTTGTTTAAAAGTATTTTAGTAGAAAAAAACAATGTCACTTGATTGTATATTTATATTTAATTTCAGATTTCTAACAACTTTTGAAAACAAAGAAGTAATAATAGCAAGTTGTCTACACCCTAAATTTAAGTTAAATTGGTTAACTGGAGAGAAAAAAAAACTTGTTGAAAGTTATTTGGAAGATTTATTAGGAATTCGATCGACCGAAAGTTTTCCACAAACTGGAAAATCTGATGATCACGAAAATTTTTTTATCTTTGAGCAACAAAAAATGTCCCAAAGTGAATCGGAAGAAGAAAGGTTGCAACGTTTCCTAAAATCTAAAAGTAGTAACATAGAAATGTTAAACGATTACCCAAAAATCAAAAAACTTTTTATTAAATATAATACAGCACTTCCTAGCAGTGCATCAGTAGAACGTATGTTTAGCGTCGGCGGTTTCGTGTTAACACCAAAACGCGGACATTTGTGTGACGATACTATTGAGCAGCAAATTCTTTTAAAAATAAATAACAAATTTCGAAAATAAAATTTTTGTTACTCTTACAACGCGGACATTTGTAATACTATTAAGCGGCATATACTTTTATAAATAAATAAAAAATTTTGAAACTGAAATTTACAAAATGTATTTTAAATCCTGTAATTTTTAACAAATTTTTGCAGGTTAAGTTTTCGAAACAACAACGTTAAATTAAACAGTAGAAATTTACAAATATTTTTTAAGAAAATAACAAAAACATAATTTTAATAATGATATTGTTATTGACATATAAGATGTAATAATTTTAATAATATGTAAAATTAATAAGTTTGATAATTTGTAAAATTAATACTTTTGATAAGATTTTAAATAAGAATACTTTTTAAAAAATTGTAAATAATTTTTTTTTTAATTTGTAAATACTGTAATTTTAAATTATAAAAACACTAGCAATATAAAAAGTTTTTAAATTTACATTTACAACATTTACAAATTTTTAAGAAAAAGCTTAGTTACACCTGTTTTAAACTTTTTCTTATTTCATATATCTTATTGATTCAAAATTATTACTTCTATTATTTATTATTAAAATTATTACAATTTACATTAATAACATTAAATTTATATTCGATTTTGTTACTTTAATAAAAAATAGTATTTAAACAATTTTAGTGTTTACTATAAATTTGTGGTATTTACTTTTATACTAATTTTATCATTATTACACTAAAATTTTTATTATATAATTAATTTACTTATAAAATTGAATTTAATTTATAAATCACAAAAAACATATTTAAAATAATTATATTAATAAATTATTAAATTTTTACTAAATATTAAGAATTTTATTTATAATTTTACATTTAAAAATAAATATTAAAATTTTAAACAACTTTGAAGGTTATCCCTCAAAATATTTTATAATGGTTAGTAATAGAGATTTAAACAGAAAATCTTATTTTTTTAATAAAAATAAAAAAAAAGTTGTGCATAAATTTTGTAGTATGTACAAAAAAAGTAACGGATATTGTAACGATTCGTTACTTTTCAAGTAACGGTAACGGTAACGAGTTACTTTTTAAAATTGATAACGAGTAACGGTAACGAGTTACTTTTTAACAAAAAGAACGGTAACGGTAACGAGTTACTTTTATAAAGTAACTTTCCCAACCTTGATGTATATATATAATAATATATGTATATATGCAAATATACATTATATATGTGTGTGTATGTATATGTAATAATGTGTAGAAGTAATTTTATGCGTATATGTAAATATTATTTTGTAATAAAATACAGAGTTAATAAAAGTAAGGGTTAGGTTTTCATTTTTTACATCAAATAAAATAAAATTTATAGGCCTGTGGACTATGATAATGCAGAGTTAAAGCAAAGCGTTTTAATTCATCACTATAACGTCTTGCATGCGTCGATGTACCTTCATTGTGGAATTCATTCAATAAAATTGGCTGGAAATTTTCAGAAAACTCGTGTTTTAAAGTATTAAAAGTTGTCGGCGTAATTAGATTTTTTTCTTTCAGTGTATCAAGTAACACGGATAAAGATTTTATTTTGTCGTTGTGGCGAGATCTAACCGTGTCGCCACGACAGCTGTCAAACCATAGTTAAACTTAACATTTATATATCTCGTCACATAACATTAAATGATATAGTTTTTTTCTCTTATTTTTATAATTTTATATAGAGGAGACCGGGGCTAGTTGTGACACGGGGTTAGTTGTCAAACTGCTATTATCTTGCTTACTAAATCTTGGAAAATATTCTTCTTTATATTGTAAGTTGCTACTATAGTGTTAGTAACGTGTACGAAATAGCTTTTCTTAAAAACATGATATATGATATTTACGAGCACTTTTGTAAAACTAGACATGGCAAGTAGATTTTTCTGATCTCGATTGTTTAGTAATTTCATTGATTTTAAAATTTCTAATTGCAACTTTATCTTAGGTATAAGAAAAGTGAGTAGTTTTAAATAAGTTTTTCCTATATTTATTTAATCGTCATCGCATCGCAGTTTATAAATATAACATCTTTTATTTAAAATAAACGTTTGAGGTAAGTTGTCTCACGGTAAGTATGCGTGAGGAAGTAATCGCCGTGCGTTGGATGCGTCGCGCTATAACTTTAACAAAAACTTTGTCAACAAGCTGCATTATTATTTGAAGTGAACTGAAAATCGTACGTTAGTTCGGTATTGTAAGACAATTTCAGAAAAGTACATATGTGAAAATACAATTTGTACAAGTGTGGGTTATGCTAAACCAACAACAAGATTTTTATTAGTGATTTACAAGAAGAAGAACTAGTTAGTTATATATTACATGCTTCAGATATTAACTTTGATCTTACACCCAAGAAAATCAGAATTTTGGCTTATGTGACAACTAACCCTGGATATGAGGCACGTTGACAAATTTGTTTGTTTGTATAAAGATATATGAAAATAATATTTTTTTTTCTTAAAGCTAAAGGATGTGACTATTATGTAATATACTCAATATTACATAATATGGTGTACAAGCAAATTGTGTGCCGCTTGATAATACTAGCATATTGACAGTCCCGAGTAGAAAATCAAACACGGCCCTAAGAAGGGCGCGTTAGGTTTTGTCCTATTGCCTGATAAGGTCTTGTTAAGGCAGCCTGACAGCGCCCTGATCAAAAATGTAACGTCGTGTTACATATGGCCCTGATAGCAGGTTTCTGACCGGG